TGAAACTTTGCACAGACTATTTTTTACACAAAAGTATAACATTCTGAAAATTTGAAGAGATTTCAATTAAAATTAGGGGTACCTCCCATACAAAATTTTCAATTGGCTCAAAAACGAATATTTTGTATGGGAGGTACTCTTGATTTTGGTTGAAATTTCTCCAAACCCTCCGAATGTTATTTGTGAAAAAAAAAAACCTGTGCAAAGTTTCACGCCATTAAGGTAGCATACAGACAAGGCTCCCATACAAAAATCCAAATTTGTTGTGACTTTAGTTATGAAAAGTGTTTCAAAAATAATCTTTATGGCAAAATTAAAGTCAGACATATTTTTATAGTATTTTGTTAGAAAATAGAATACTTTCAAATGTCGTACAAATGGGTTCATCATGAAAGTGTGAAAGATATTTTCTCGGCTACTTCTGCTATTAAATTAAAGAATATTTAGTTGCCAAAGTTGAAACATATTTTGGTCTCGAACTTTACGCCGCTTGAAAGACTTGAAGAATCGAGCAAATATTATTTTGAACTTTCTTAATAAAATACGCAAATACCACCGTGCGGAAAAGTTCGTCTTACTCCCGTAAGACTCTTTATTTTATTTTAAAAAAATCGCATAATATTAACATTAATTTAATCCGAAATACCTTTAACCACATTTCTAACATACATGCTTATCTCACTCACAATCTCACTTTGCACGCTAACAATTCAATCGATAAAATAGGCCTTTGGAGAGACATGGGTGTCCAAAGTAAGTTGATCCCATCACTTTTACTAACAACAAGATTGATTGCAGTTTCCAATTATTTTATGGATTTTCTTTGTATATTTGGTAGTTTGGTATATTTCTACGTTATTTTTCCATTCAAATTGTTGTTTTTGTTTTTGCTCCAATTCTTTGGGGGCGTATACATTTTTGATTGAAAAATTCGTTTTTTTTTGGTTTTTGAAAAAAAAGTGAGTTTCCGAAGCATTTTTGAAGATTTTTTTATCTCTTATTTTTGTCGTTATACTTGTGAACAAGTATGCATCGAGTCTGATTTGCTTTTATTTTGAAGACAGTCACATCAAAATTGGAAGATTTCCAAGAAGCTTCTGAGACTCTGATTTCATCATCATTTTTGTTTTACTTTTAATAATTTGCTAATTCAAATGAGCATTTTCTTTTTCTCAATCCAGGTGCTGCAACTATACCAAATCTCAAACTTAAATCATGGCTTAATGATGGTTGGTCCCTCTGGATCTGGAAAGAGCATGGCGTGGCGTGTATTGTTAAAAGCATTAGAACGTTTTGAGGGTATCGAAGGTGTCGCGCATGTCATCGATCCGAAAGCAATTTCAAAAGAAGCTCTGTATGGTGTTCTTGATCCAAATACACGTGAATGGACGGACGGTTTGTTTACGCATATTTTGCGTAAAATTATTGACAATGTACGTGGTGAAATCAACAAACGTCAATGGATCATTTTCGATGGTGACGTTGATCCGGAATGGGTTGAAAATTTGAATTCCGTTCTTGATGATAATAAATTGCTCACCCTACCGAATGGTGAACGTTTATCGTTGCCGCCAAATGTACGTGTTATGTTTGAAGTGCAAGACTTGAGATTCGCTACATTGGCCACTGTATCACGTTGTGGTATGGTATGGTTCTCGGAAGATGTTCTCTCAACGGAAATGATATTTGAAAATTATTTGGCTCGTTTGCGTAATATCCCACTGGAAGATGCCGATGAAGATTTTATTGCTACCAATAACAAAGCGGCTGGAAAAGAAGATGAAATCTCACCATGTATTTCGGTAAACAAATTAACAGCTGTTCGCAATGGCAATCAAGTATTTTCATCAAATATTTCTTTTTTTTTTCATTTAGACTCAACGTGAAATCGCTTCATTGATGCAACCATACTTTGGTGCTGATGGTTTGGTGGTTCGTTGCTTGGAATATGCCATGAATCAAGAGCACATTATGGATTTCACACGTCTGCGTGCACTCAGCTCGCTATTTTCAATGCTAAACAAATTCACACGTAACGTTCTGGTTTACAATCAACAACATTCCGATTTTCCAATTTCTACCGATCAACTCGAGCAATATGTTCAAAAGGGATTAATTTATTCGTTGCTTTGGTCATTTGCTGGAGATGCCAAATTAAAAGTTCGCAGTGATTTGGGTGATTTCATTCGTAGCGTTACAACGATTGCATTGCCAAATAATACCGGCGCTCCGATTATCGATTACGAAGTGAATATGTCCGGTGAATGGGTTCCATGGTCGAATAAAGTGCCAGTCATCGAAGTTGAAACACACAAAGTTGCCGCACCAGATGTGGTCGTACCCACACTTGATACAGTTCGTCACGAATCGCTTCTGTATACTTGGTTGGCTGAACATAAACCATTGGGTAAGTGATTTTTTTAAATTTTTTTTCACATTTCAAAAATATCAAATCGACGACATTTAAAACGTACACTTTTTCTTTCAGTTCTTTGTGGTCCACCTGGTAGCGGTAAAACGATGACTCTGTTTTCGGCTTTACGTGCTCTGCCCGATATGGAAGTCGTAGGTTTGAATTTCTCATCGGCCACAACGCCAGAGCTGTTGTTGAAAACATTCGATCATTATTGTGAATATCGTAAGACACCAAACGGTGTTGTATTGGCTCCAGTACAAATTGGCAAATGGCTCGTTCTATTCTGCGACGAAATCAATTTACCCGATATGGATACATACGGTACACAGCGTGTCATTTCATTCTTGCGTCAATTGGTCGAACACAAAGGATTCTATCGTGCAAACGATCAAGCCTGGGTCAGCTTGGAGCGTATTCAATTTGTTGGCGCTTGTAATCCACCGACCGGTAAGATATCAAATCACATTTGTAGAAAGCCTTCAGATTCTGAAGTTCAGAAACTCTTCCTTCCACTTTGGATGATGAATAATTTCATTCGATACTCTTATTTTCAGATCCTGGTCGTAAGGCATTAAGTCATCGTTTCTTGCGTCATGTTCCAGTCATCTATGTCGATTATCCTGGAGAAACGTCACTAAAGCAAATTTATTCCACATTCACACGAGCAATGTTACGTTTATTGCCAGCACTTCGTGGCTATGCTGAACCATTAACAAATGCAATGGTTGAATTCTATTTGATCTCTCAGGATCGTTTTACCCAAGATATGCAACCGCATTACGTGTACTCACCGCGTGAAATGACTCGTTGGGTGCGTGGTATATGCGAAGCAATTCGACCGTTGGATAGTTTACCAGTTGAAGGATTGGTACGTCTTTGGGCCCATGAAGCGTTACGTTTGTTCCAAGATCGTTTAGTTGATGACACCGAAAGACGTTGGACCAACGAAAACATTGACATTGTTGCAACAAAACATTTCCCAAGTGTTGATTGCGAAAAATCACTTGCACGACCAATTTTGTACAGGTATTTGTTCAATTTATTCAGTCAATATCTGATGATGATGAATCGATTAAGTTGACAACGATACACAATAATGTGTTTTCAAAGCAGAAGAATATGAAAATAATGAATTTCAATTTTGTACAGTAATTGGTTATCAAAAGACTATGTACCGGTTAAACGTGATGAGTTGAGGGACTATGTAAGGGCTCGATTGAAAATATTCTACGAAGAAGAATTGGATGTGCCACTTGTTCTGTTCGACGAAGTGTTGGAGCATGTATTGCGTATCGATCGTATTTTCCGTCAACCACAAGGCCATTTGCTATTGATTGGTGTCAGTGGTGCCGGTAAAACAACATTGTCACGATTTGTTGCATGGATGAATGGACTTTCCATTTTCCAAATTAAGGTATAAACCAAAAGAAGAATACTAATTAAATGTTCAAGCATGACGTTACTCTTCCTCCTTTTCGCCATTAGGTCCATAACAAATACACGAGTGAAGATTTCGACGAAGATTTGCGATCCGTTTTACGTCGATCTGGTTGCAAAGGTGAAAAGATTGCATTCATTTTGGATGAATCAAATGTGCTCGACTCTGGTTTCTTGGAACGTATGAACACATTGTTGGCAAACGGTGAAGTACCCGGTTTATTTGAAGGCGATGAATATGCTGCGCTGATGACACAATGCAAAGAGGGTGCACAACGTGATGGCTTAATGTTAGACTCAAGCGACGAACTTTATAAATGGTTCACACAACAAGTAATGTCAAATTTGCATGTTGTCTTCACAATGAACCCGAGTGAGAATGGTCTCAAAGACCGGGCTGCCACGTCGCCCGCCTTGTTCAATCGTTGTGTATTGAATTGGTTTGGTGATTGGTCCGATTCGGCATTGTTCCAAGTTGGACGTGAATTTACAATTCGAGTTGATTTGGAAAAACCACAATGGAAATCACCCGATTTCTTCCCTGTTTGTAATCCATTGTTACCAACAACACCATCACATCGTGATGCAGTCATCAATGCTTGTGTTTACGTTCATCAAACACTTCACAAAGCAAATGCTCGGCTTGCAAAACGCGGTGGACGCACTATGGCCATTACACCAAGGTAAATCTGTCTTACACAACTTAAACACTAAACAAACATTATCGCAGAAAACTAATCGATTCTTTTCTACGCAGACACTATCTTGATTTCATTCATCATTTTGTAAAATTGTACTCGGAGAAACGAAGCGATTTGGAGGAGCAACAATTGCATTTGAATGTTGGTCTCAATAAAATCGCTGAAACTGTCGAACAAGTTGAAGAAATGCAAAAATCATTGGCCGTTAAATCGCAAGAGCTTCAAGCTAAGAATGAGGCTGCCAACGCTAAGCTCAAACAAATGTTCAAGGATCAACAAGAAGCCGAAAAGAAAAAGGTCCAATCCCAAGACATACAATTGAAATTGGCCGATCAAACCGTTAAAATCGAAGAGAAACGCAAATTCGTTATGGCCGATTTGGCTCAAGTAGAACCAGCCGTTTTAGATGCACAACAAGGTACCGTGATCTCTTTTTTTTGCTTTTAATTTCATAACATTTTATTTCAGCTATGTATCCATTTGGAAAATCCGAATTAATTCACCACAATATGATGACCAAATACTAATTGTTTTAAAATTTGTTTTTGAATTGTCCATCTCTCTCTTTGTGTGTGTGTCCCCCTGTTTGTAAACGATCCTGTAGCTGTCAGTGGCATTAAGAAAAAGCAATTGTCCGAGGTCAGATCGATGGCAAATCCACCGGCCATCGTAAAAGTGGCCTTAGAATCGATTTGTTTGCTGTTGGACGTTACCGGTGACAATGAAATCATACCCGATTGGAAAACAATTCGTTCCATTCTCAATAAAGACAGTTTCATTCCATCGATTATTAACTTCGACACCGCATCAATCACGTATGATATCCCACACACAAAATGGATAATATCAATTTATTTTTGTCCGTTTTTTTTTAAATATCTTTTTTGCTAATGCGCTGTCGTCTGCCTTTTGTTGTTTTTAAATTCAACGAAATTTACCCAACATTTATATGTCACTAAAAATTAAAAAAAAAAAACAAATCATTAAATCATCGTCAATGGGTTAATAATAATATTAACCGAATGCGACCAATCAATTTTTCCGTTTAATTTTTCTGTTGATCTATTGTCAATAAACATTCTCTTCTCAAGTCATCTAGTCAAAAACTTTCTGTCGTAAAAAAACTAATCGGATCTAACCCAACAAAAGAAAAAAAACAATAATTTTAATTAATTCTATCTAACCAAAACAAATAAAAAAACTAAATCAAATTTAATCCTCATAAATATTATAGCCGTAAAATCGATCAGGAAACAGCATCTCGTCGAAGTTCGTTCAATGGCAAATCCGCCGGCCATTGTAAAATTGGCATTAGAATCAATTTGTTTGCTACTGGGTGAAAATGCATCCGATTGGAAATCCATTCGAGCCGTCATTATGCGAGAAAATTTCATTAATTCCATTGTTACATTCAGTACCGAAGACATTACGTAAGCATTACGAACTCTGTGTTATTTTGTGTTCCGTTTTTTTTTTTTGGCGCTTGGTTTTTTTTTAGTTTTTCTTTTTATTGGCGCCCATGTTGATGATGCAACATATGGGCTTTTAGAATTTATTGTTTTACGGTTTGATTATTTGCAGTACAAAAAAAAATTGAAGCAAAAATGACACATTTACGTTTTAGCAGCAAAATTGGTATTTCGTGAGAAAATGCTCATTATTATTTTAATTTAATATATAGATTTTTCCAACGACATTTTTACAATTTAAGTTAATTTCCGGTAAATTTCAAACCTGATTATTTCAACCATTTTCACTCAACTAAAATGTTGGTAAACAATTGCTGTTTCTTCTCATTTTTATTTCCATTAATTTGATGTATCTCTAATTGATTTGTCACCTCTGCGACAAGTGTACATAAACAAAATTTCAAATTTAATTAATTTTAAACAGGCATGCAATTAATTCAGTAAATGTTTGCTTGCTTTGTATATAGCAAAAAAAAAACTAAATTCTAATAACTAGTTAAATACTAATTGGTTTTTTCATTGAAAAAAAGGGTAATTTTACTAATTTATTTTCCGTATTTTTTTTTGTCTCTTAAACGAAATGAAGTGATGATGTTCGTGATAAAATGAAGACTCGCTACTTGAGCAATCCCGACTACAATTTCGAGAAAGTGAATCGTGCCAGTATGGCCTGTGGTCCTATGGTTAAATGGGCTATCGCTCAGGTAAGACAATTTTGAAATTTTCTCTCAGAAATTCACCGTTCCCTTGGCAAAATTCAAAACACGATTTTTTTTTCTGTAAACATTCCAGATTGAATATGCCGATATGTTGAAACGTGTCGAACCATTGCGTGATGAATTGCAATCACTCGAAGACCAGGCCGCATTAAATATGAAGAATGCTCAAGATACAAAAGATTTGATCACACAACTGGAACAAAGTATTGCCGCATACAAAGAAGAATATGCACAATTGATTTCCCAAGCGCAAGCAATTAAGACCGATTTGGAAAATGTTCAAGCCAAGGTGGATCGTTCAATTGCATTGTTGAAGAGTTTGAATATCGAACGTGAACGATGGGAAGCAACAAGTGAAACATTCCGATCACAAATGTCCACGATTGTCGGTGATGTATTGCTGTCGGCTGCATTCATTGCTTATGGTAAATTTATTTCAAATATTTTTCTTGCCTTTTTTTAAAGTTACTTATAAAAAATCTTTCGTACTTGTCTCAGGCGGTTACTTTGACCAACACTATCGAAGCAATTTGTTCTCTACATGGTGTCAACATTTACAAGCGGCTCACATTCAATATCGTGCCGATATTGCGCGTACCGAATATCTATCGAATCCGGATGAACGATTGCGTTGGCAAGCGAACGCATTGCCCACCGATGATTTATGTACGGAAAATGCAATTATGTTGAAGCGATTCAATCGTTATCCGCTCATCATCGATCCATCGGGACAAGCCACTGAGTTCATCATGAATGAATATGCTGGTAAAAAGATAACCAAAACCAGTTTCTTGGACGATTCGTTCCGTAAAAATTTGGAATCAGCGTTGCGTTTTGGTAATCCACTTTTGGTGCAAGACGTTGAAAATTACGATCCAATTTTGAATCCGGTGCTCAATCGTGAATTGCGACGCACTGGTGGTCGTGTATTGATCACACTTGGTGATCAAGATATTGATTTGTCACCGTCATTCTCGATCTTCCTTTCAACACGGGATCCAAGCGTTGAATTTGATCCATCAATTTGTTCCCGTGTTACATTCGTCAATTTCACCGTCACCCGTAGTTCTTTGCAGAGTCAATGCTTGAATCAAGTACTGAAGGCCGAACGTCCTGATATCGATGAAAAACGTTCGGATTTATTGAAATTACAAGGCGAATTCCATTTGCGATTGCGTCAATTGGAGAAACAATTATTGCAAGCGCTCAACGATGCAAAGGGTAAGATTCTTGATGATGATAGTGTGATCACAACACTTGAAACACTGAAAAAAGAAGCTGCTGATATTGGACAAAAGGTTGAAGAGACGGATAAAGTTATTGCCGAAATTGAAACAGTTTCACATCAGTATTTGCCATTGTCAACGGCATGCAGTAACATTTACTTCACGATGGATAGTTTGAATCAGATACATTTCTTGTATCAATATTCGTTGCGAATGTTCTTGGATATGTTCAGTACGGTATTGTCACGTGAAAATCCAGCACTCAGTGGCAAAACTGACTATGGTCAACGTTTGAAAATCATCACAACCGATTTATTCTCCGTTGTATATGATCGTGTTGCGCGTGGAATGTTGCATGCAGATCGTTTGACATTTGCAATTCTATTGTGTCGAATTCATTTGAAAGGAACGTCCGAACAAAATCTTGATGCTGAATTTAACTTTTTCTTGCGAAATCGCGAAGGACTCATTTCAAATACACAAAATATTGACGGATTCACGTATGAACAAATCGAAAGTGCAAATCGTTTAGCCACTCGATTGCCAACCTTCAAGAAACTCATTGAGAAAATTAAATCGATGCCCGAATTTTCGGCATGGCTGAATCAAGGTTCGCCAGAACAACAAGTACCACAGCTATGGGATGAATCAAAAGCATTGTCACCAATTGTGGCTGCAATGCATCAATTGCTATTGATTCAAGCGTTCCGTCCGGATCGTGTAATTGCCGCCGGTCAATTGTTTGTGTCAACTGTTTTGGGTGCCGAATTTATGCCGTTGGCCGAAAAAGAATTGGATTTCGCTGCTTGCGTCGAAAAACAATTGACATCAAATTCACCGGCATTGTTGTGTTCAGTACCCGGTTTTGATGCATCTGGTCGTGTGGATGATTTGGCGGCCGAATTGAATAAGCAAATTTCATCGATTGCCATCGGTTCGGCTGAAGGTTTCAATCAAGCCGAACGTGTCATTAATCAAGCATGCAAATCGGGTAAATGGGTTCTATTGAAGAACGTACATTTGGCACCACAATGGCTGATCCAATTGGAAAAGAAATTACATTCATTACAACCACATGCTGGATTCCGTTTGTTCTTGGTAAATACTCTTTTTTTTTTTTCATTTATTCTGAATGAGGAGAAATTATTATTTTTTTTTGGATTTTTTTCGCTTTCAGACAATGGAAATAAGTCCACGTGTACCAGTCAATTTACTGCGTGCCGGTCGTATATTCGTCTATGAACCACCGCCAGGTATTCGTGCCAATTTGTTGCGTACATTCTCAACAGTACCGGTGGCCCGTATGATGAAGCCGCCAAGTGAACGTGCCCGATTGTACTTCTTGTTGGCATGGTTCCATGCAATTATTCAAGAGAGATTACGTTATGTCCCATTGGGATGGGCCAAAAAGTACGAATTCAACGAATCAGATTTGCGTGTTGCAATCGATACACTCGACACTTGGATCGATCAAACTGCAATGAATCGTAAGTTTAAAAAAAACCCATCGCTGATTGTATTTTGTTAAACAAAAAAAGTGTCTTTTCATTCAACCAGGTGCCAATTTGCCTCCAGAGAAAATCCCTTGGGATGCCATCGTTACGTTGTTATCGCAAAGTATTTATGGTGGTAAAATTGATAATGATTTCGATCAACGTTTGTTGGCATCATTCTTGAGTAAACTCTTCACAGCGCACAGTTTTGAAACCGATTTTGCGTTAGTCGGTAATGTTGAAGGTCAACGAAATATTACAATGCCAGACGGTACACGACGTGATCAATTCTTGAAATGGATTGAGAATCTAAGCGATCGTCAAACACCATCATGGCTTGGTTTGCCAAACAATGCTGAGAAAGTGTTGCTAACAACACATGGAACTGATTTGGTCAGTAAATTGTTGAAGATGCAACAATTGGAAGATGACGATGAATTGGCTTACAATCCAGAAGAAGGAGCCGTCGATGCATCATTGCAAACAATTCAAGAAGATGGACGTCCATCGTGGATGAAAACGTTGCACAACAGTGCTACAGCATGGCTCGAATTGCTTCCAAAATCGTTGCCAACACTCAGACGAACTGTTGAAAACATAAAAGATCCGTTGTATCGGTACTTTGAACGTGAAGTTACATCGGGTGCCAAACTTTTGATCACCGTCATCAGTGACTTACAAGATGTCGTATTGATTTGTCAAGGCGAAAAGAAACAAACCAATCATCATCGTACAATGCTATCGGAACTGGTAAAAGGTATTATTCCAAGCGGATGGCGTAAATATACTGTGCCTGCCGGTTGCACGGTCATTCAATGGATCACCGATTTTGCGAATCGTGTACGTCAGCTGCAAAAGGTATCCGAGCTAGTATCGCAAGCTGGTGCCAAGGAACTACAAGTGAGTTTGTCTGCGACGATTTTGAAAATTAAATGAATGAACATTTTAACATTATGATTTTCCATCATTTACAGGGGTTCCCAGTATGGCTGGGCGGTTTACTCAATCCCGAAGCTTACATCACTGCAACACGGCAATGTGTTGCCCAAGCAAACAGTTGGTCACTCGAAGAGTTGGCCCTTGATGTAACCATCACCGAAGGAGGTAGCGGTGGTAACCAGAAAGATAGTTGCTTCGGTGTCACTGGATTGAAATTGCAAGGAGCCACATGCAAAAATAATCAACTTTTGTTGAATACGGCAATCATGACCGATCTGCCATTGACACTATTGAAATGGGTCAAGTACGTGACTTTTTTTGTTTCATTGAAAATTTGGAGTTACATTATTTTTTTAATAAATTTTGTTTCTTTCCTTCTCGCACAGGGTTGGTTCAGCCGAACATCGTACTGGAAAATTGAATTTACCGGTCTACTTGAATTCAACACGTGCAGAGCTACTATTTACCGTTGAGTTGGCTGTTGCACCCGGACAAAGTCCACACAGTTTCTACGAACGTGGTGTTGCTGTACTCACATCAACAGCACTTAATTAAATTCATCTATCGCATCAAATTATTTGACGAAAAAAAAACATAGCAAAAAATAAACTAAACTAATTTATCCCTGGTAAAATCAAATAAAAATTTTGTACGCAAAAAACTGAATGCCAAACATTGTTTGAGATAATAATAGAACATTTGCTATTTATTTGTTAGAATACAAAATATACTCAATTCATTATAAAGCAATTTAAATAACGCTGGTTTTGTTTCTGCATCATTATTTTACTTTTTAATTTTATTCCTTGGAAGCACTTGGATCAGAATATATCGAGGTGCAATCAGAAATAAAATTTTCTCTTTAGGAAAGTGTTTTATCTTCATTTCATTCTTCAATCATTTGCTTGGCGCAAAAAATTCAGAAAATACTTCAATCCCTGAACAATCAAATAAGGAGATCAAAAGTTTACATCAGAGAGTCGAGTAACAATGCCAGAAGAATAAGTTGGTTGCGCTTAAAAAGTCTTCAACCAATCGGCTCAAATACAAAATTTCTTGCATACAGTCGTCGTTTAGGCAATTAAGGATGTGTTTTGAAGAATTTTGTGCCAATTGCAGCAATAATTTCCATTTCCTGACCAAAATGATCGGCAATCAGATCGATTTCATGATACGGCGCATTCTCCGCCATTGCAGTGTCGTTGAATGAATGTTTCAGTGCTATTTAAAAAAAAGGCGAAGAAAAATTCTATTGAAGCACACCGGTAAAAATAAAAACAAAAAATTTACTGTATTTTTTTCTAATTTCTATATTTAATAGCCAAAATATCAGTAAAAATGTGATTTCATATGTGTTTTGGAAATTCATAATCAATCAGTATTGACAAACTATGTGCGAAAGAGACAAAAAAAAAAAACGATGCTACTATACAAGCATCAATTGTCGGTGACTATGCTTAGAGAAAAAAAACCAATGCAAAATGTCAAATCGCGACAGGCTGCGTTCATTGTCAGAGTGCGCTTTATCCAATGATTTCAAATAAAATTTCTGCTAACGAGGAAATTGTATGTTTATTTTATTGACAAAAATTAGTACTCATCAGAAAAAAATCGAAATATTCCCAAGTGAAATGTTTGCTATATTTTTTTTTCCCATTTACATCACAAACAAGTCAATGATAACAAACATACAAACTAAATATAAAAAGAAATCGATGACACAACTTCAAGTCACACCTCTATTGAGTTGACAATTTGAAAAGTACAGTCGACTGTTTTTTTCAAAGGTGACTATGAAATATTTCATGTCTAGTTAACGTCACTCACTACATTGGTTATTTCGAATAAATTTTTAGTTTTTAAGTTTTATTTAAACATCTCAATAGATGTAGGATTTCTATTTCAAAATAAAATTAAATTAGTTGATTAAATCAATACATTTGTTCCGATCGTTTGCATCAACGGACATTAATTACAATTAAGATTTCATCATGTTGTGGAAAAAAGAATCAACGGAAGAGCATGCATTTTACGAGGATATAATTGCAAATAACGGCGGCGCTGACGCATTGAAAATGACTTTTACCCATGTTAGATATGAAGAACAGGTTAAATCTAACAAAGACGATAAATTGTCATTGGATAAACGAAAAATGGGAAACAAATTCTTTAAACAAGAAAAATGGGCCGACGCAATGGAAATGTATAATGCAAGTTTACGCTATGCTGAAAATGGTTCGGAAAATATCAGGTGGGAAATTTACCGGAAACAAACTTAAATTGTCGTTGAAAAATAGTTAAAAAAAAATAAATAAATCAAAATTATGCCAAAGGATCTGAAAATCAAAGATCATTTTTTTTCGAATATATCATCGGCATTTACATGTTTCACGAGATATTTACACAAGTCAACATTTCAGCCTTGCCTATGCCAATCGATCGAATTGCTTTTTAAAGTTAAAGCGTTACAATGAATGTCTCGTGGACATTCAATTGGCAAAAGAAGCCCGCTATCCCCCGGAGTCAATAGAAAAACTCAATCGACGAGAGGAAGAATGTTTGAAGCATATTACTGACGGAGCTGAATCGACAAAATATGAAGCAATTCTCGATTTCGAGCCGGACGAGAAGTTTCCGTGCATGGCCAATGTTCTTGAAATCAAAAATGATTCCGATGGTGATTTGAGGCTCTTTGCAAAAGACAAAATCGATGTTGGTCAAACGATCGTAGTGGAAAAGGCGCTAATAAATTACATATATTCACGATATAGTTGGCGATGTGATGTTTGTTTGAAGGAATATGCCAATTTTGTACCGTGCGATAAATGTGTTTTCGCAATGTTTTGTGACGATTGTCGCAATAATCAGCTGCATCAATACGAATGCGGTGTAAGGTTTAGTTGGAACGTTAATTCGGAGGCTATTAGTATCAATGGAACGATAATGTCTATCGTTCGTAGCTGTTTATGGGTAATTGATTGATTTAAGCACTTTGTTTTTCTTTTTCTTCCCCAACAGAACGCGATTCTCAACACTACTACCAAATCTCAAATTAAAGCAATGTTGTTGCAAATGTGTGACGTTAAACTATACATATTTGATTTTCCATTACATATTGATTAATTTTCCATTATTTTCATTCTTTTCTTTGTGATTAACCCTAGGCAATTGATCTATTTGCGAGCGTCGATGAATTGATGGTTTTCGTGGAGCGGGTTATCACAAGCGATCCGAAACGAATACCAAACTCATTATCGGATGCGAAATCACAATATGAAGCTTTCCTAAAGTTACCGAGATTAAGGACGAATATTAATATTCCTTGCATCCTATATGAATGCAATCGAATGCTTATGAATATTCCGAAGATCGAGCACACATTTAATTCGGTCAAGCACCATCGTTTTTTGATGCATTTAATAGGTCATCATGCTTTCATTTTGAAATCACATTCAATACCAACAATTCCAGATACAGATTGTCATCGCTCTGAACAAGGTTTGCCAACAACAGTATGCTGTACTCAAACTGGGCTAATGAGACAATATATAAATGTATCCTGTTATCCAAATGTCATGGAACATAGCCACGATGGACAGGCGGTCGTCATTGCGATTCGACCCATCTTAAAAGGACAACAATTGTTTAACACGAGTTTATTCGGCCATCTATTTGATTCGAAAGAGAGGCGACATGAAATTTTACGGGATAGATATGAAATAACTTGCAAATGTGTACGAATTTTGATTTGTTTAAAATGCAATTTTGTTCGTTTTCAACATAGTTTTTTTTTGACTATTTTAAGGAACGATGTGAAGGACACTTAGCATCAGATGAACAGCGCAAACGAATAACTAGTGATCCAAATTTCCGGTATTTGAAAAGAGTCAAGTTGAATATAAAGGAAATCTGTGCTGATAAAAAGAGGCAGCAGACATTGGACGACAAATACAAAAGCTGTTTACGAAAATTTGGTCAAATGCCGTGGTGTGATCTAGTAGGAAAATTATTAGTTGAATACATGATACTAAAAATGGCTACGATGCGCAGTGCCGTAAGCACAGAAACCGCACATCAAACGGATTGAACGCTTCGAAGTTCGAATATTGTCTACCAATTGTACAAACACTAGAAATAAGATTAATCTCTATTTGTTCATGTTTAACGTATCAACAATGAATATAATATTTGCCAAGTTTTATTTTAAATTAAAGAATTCGTCTGATCAATCAACGCATTTGTTTTGATTGAGTCTATTTTTGTAGCATGATGAAGAATTAATATTTGTTGAAATTTATTGATCTATTTTTGTATCTTTTTAAACGAGTAAAATAAAATTTAATTTATCATCAGATATTCAGAAGCAATAAACATGCGTAATATGTGCATTTTATATTGCAAAGACGAAGCAAGGATTTTCCGAACTCCAAAAAAATCCAATTAAATTCCCATGGATACGAGGGTTGCTCCATAATTTTTTTTAAAAACATATATAACACAGTTGTTTTTTGTCGAAAATGGTTTTATTGTTTTTCAAAATATTCCCCGAGATGATCGATACACTTTTGCATTCGATGAAACCATTTGTCATAGCATTCGTGCCACTCCGAAACTGATATCTCCAAAACGTGTGTTTTGAACGCTTCAACTGCTTCTTCTGGTGTCGAAAATCGTTGACCACGTAGTTTTTTCTTCACGCTTGGGAACAAAAAAAAGTCATTGGGTGCCAGGTCAGGACTGTACGGTGGATGACCCATCAGTTCGATGTTTTGACCGGTCAAAAATCGAGTAGTTTGAAAAGATGTGTGAGAGCTCGCATTATCGTGATGAAGAATTATTTTGCGACGGTGGTTGTTTTTTCTTATTTCACCAAACACTTCGGGCAAACAAATGGTGGTATACCAATCAGAATTGACGGTCTTACGATCCTCTAGTGGAACGGTTGCCACATGACCACTTCTCCCGAAAAAACAGGCGACCATTCGCTTCGAAGTGCTTCTTGCTCGAACAACTTTCGTTGGGTTATCTTCATTTTGGAAGACCCATACAGTCGACTGCTGTTTCGTTTCGGGCTCATAGGCATATATCCACGATTCGTCACCAGTGACGATTTTATTAACGTCTTTTGAAGCACCACGATTGAATTTCTTGAGCATTTCTTTACACCAACTCACACGAGCCATTTTTTGTTCATCGGTCAATTTATGTGGGATCCAACGAGAGCAAATATTTTTTACGGCTAAATGTTCATGCAAAATTGTATGTATGCTGTGGGATGAAATGCCCAAAGATGCCTCAATCTCACGGTAGGTCACATGACGATCTTCCATAATCAGTTTTCTGACAGCATCGATGTTTTGTGGCACAACAGCCGATTTTGGACGACCTGTATGAAACTCGTCTTTGAGCGAACTACGACCGCAACGGAATTCTCGGTACCAGTTATAAATTGTCTGAAGGGTTGGTGCTTCATTGCCAAAGGCCAAATGAAGTCGATCGAAACACTGTTGTTGAGATAATTTACTTCGAAAATCATAGTAAATCATTTTACGAAAATCTTCACGTGTAAAATTCATTTTTTTGTTGAGTCGCAGTTTACCAGTCACTGTAAACAATACAAATAGCGTTCGTACGACAAAAGGTTCAGGGCACGAATACATACCAAAACATCAAACTTTACGAATATGACAATGGTTTACATCGGGCAACACTATAAGTACCATTTTAAAAAAAATTATGGAGCAACCTACGTATTCTTTCGTTGCTTTGTGCTTCACTGTAAATATATTGTATGTAAATTTAATATGCAAACAATGACCACACTCTGTAGTTAGTGTAGTTGTTGATCAGTGTTTGTGTGTATTGCGATTTTTTCTGTATGTTAGTAGTAGAACGAAGAGGCGATGTTAGAAAACAATCGAAAACAGACTATTATCACAGCCTATTTGAACCTATTTCTATTATATTTCTTTAAATTTACGGTAAACTGATACTCAAAACGATTTAAAAGTCAAAAATATTCTCAAAAATTGGAAAAAATATCCAAACATCGATCTCAAAGGAAGGTATGAACGTCACCGCGAGATAATCAACAGATTAGCGTCAGGAACACACTCTTCATATTATATTAAGGTGTAATTGTATTTATGAAAGTCGGCACGCTTTGAGTAGTAGGAAAATGGGGATTCGTCAGCAACTCTTGCGTCAACCGCATGGTAACCTAACTGTAAGTGGTGATCTGCATGTGAATGGGGTAGAATAAAAACTACTTCTCGAAAAATGTTTAAACACGAAATCTAAAAAAAACTTTCAATGAAAAGTGAATCAATTTTTTTTCGTCCAATTGAAGTGAACCAAAAAAAAATTGTTCAATAAAAGTGAACCCGAAAAAAAAATTCATTTTAGTGTATTTTACACTGAAAAAACCGAGTGAAATTTTTTTTTTGGTTCACTTTTGTTGAACAAAATTTTCTTGATTCACTTCAATTGGACGAAAAAAAATTGATTCACTTTTTATTGAAATTTTTTTTAGGTTTCGTTTTAAAATAGCAATTTTTCGAGAAGTAGTTTTTATTCTACCCCATTCATGTGTGAAATCATCTTTTTTTGTTGTTGTTGTTGTTGTTGTTGTTGTTGTTTTTGCATGTCAAATATAAATATTTATAATAAAAATTGTTATTATCATCATCAATTTTTAAATTCATTTTTTTAATGAAACGTAATAACTGGCGGATTATCTCGAAGTTGCCAGTGTCGACCTTTGTTGGTCGAATTGACATCTCTTTCATATTTCACGCACCTTCCGTGGCGGAAAGGCAAACTAAATGCTGTGCATTTTTGCTTGAATCCGAAGTAGGCGCATTGTGGTACACTAAATTTGAATGTAAAATTTATTACGCTCTTTACAATTCCGTATGTATTGTTTAAACATTCAAAGAATGAATTGTCACATGAACAATCACTTAGAGTATATTCCGAAGGATTTTCTAAACCTCTATTAAACTGATGTGGTTCCCAGGTAGTTAAACATGAGTCGTGGGTTTTGCAGCACTGATCGATGTAAACAAAATAACCCAATTCCCCACTTATGCTCACATTTTCCGGACCGCAAAAGTTCAAAACTGTAAGAATAAACGAAGTGGTTAAAAATTTATTTTGACATTCGGATGTGTGGCGAAATTCTGCGATTAGTAATACTAAGAAAAAACACTTACTCTTGGGTATTGGTTGTTGTAACATTTCTTCATTACAGTCCAATTGGGAGAAACCTTCGGCCATCATCAATGCAAAGCACAACAACAATTACTTTGAAGAACTCATTACTGGACTCACAATACGACTAGACTGATAGAAAGTGATATGACTATAACTTATAGTCTATAAGTAATGAGACTGTATTCATACGATTTGTCTGGCCTTCATTAAGCTCATTCTTACACGTGCCGCATTTTCGAATGACGAACAAAATTGTTGACCTATGGCAAATGCGATATAAACATTTCTAATTACCTGACTAATTGCAATATTTGCCGTCGTTCATTTTGCTGCTTGGATTTATAATATATATCTGTATTCATTCGGTGATTTGATACAGTTTGTTTTTGACAATGACGATGAATAGTCATATTTTTGTAAAAGTTTTTTTAATATGCGGTGCATTGTGCTGTGCGTATGCATATCCTAGTGCAGATAACTGCAAATGCAGTAAGTTTATGTTTTTTTTCCTTTTTTTACTGTGTTTTCAACTTGCAATACTGCGTATTAAAAATTGCATTTTTGCGCTAAATAAATGCATTTCACCATATAAACTTAAACTAACAATAGAAACCGTACGAATTTTTACTTGGTACTTTTGTACCAGACGGATTTTTTTTCTAAAAAAATATCGATAGTAATTATCAAACAGACAGTTCACAATTTATAAATTGTGTTGAATTAGCATATTAGAAAAGCTGATGGACGTTGTTAAATGAATTGTCAAGTTTTACAATCAATCTAATTTATTTTTATTTTATTTTTTTTGCCGTCGTTTGACACATACTATCCTTATGGACTCTGCATTTTATTCATCTGTGTATAATTCATATTACATATATAAAAAAATAAATTTTAAATTCATACACCATTTAATGATTAAATTAAATTTTAATCAATACATGTGTTTCATACATAAATTCCGACACCAAAAAGTTGAGAGAAATATATTATGCCAATAACAGTGATTTTTATTGAATAAAGTTTTTTTCTCGTTTTTGATACGTTTAAAATCGTTTTCATCTTTGACAAAAATTGTGTGTGTTTGTGTGTGTAAGTGCATGAAAATATGCTTGTTACACAAATTAAAACGAAATTTGCACACATTGGCTTTGTGGCGCCAAAAAGCGCACTGCCACTGATGATCGGTTGAAGAACACTTTTCACAAACAAAAAACTAAATAAATACTATTTCGAATAAATTAGTGTGGAAAATCAAGCGCACACTTAAGAGTGCTGTTTAAATTGTTTTGATATGCTGATTGTGAGTGTTTCATTGAACAAGCGTCTACATAATATCGCATTCAAATCTTTTTTTTCCATACTGCACATGTTATATATACTTTCAGTTGGTGTTCGCTTGCTTCTGTCTCTCTCATCTCTCTCCATACGCCCAATCTTCCCTCTTATTTATATATTGCAGATAATTAACCTATTAATTACAGAATTTTGCGATGAATTACATTGGGTATTTAATTTTTAACTTTGAACTTACTATGCAACTGCTAAAATTTTTTTATATTTTTCTTTCCAATCATATAATGATTACACCGCAGACATTTTCTGTAGATATCAACTAATTTTTGCATATTCTATGTTGAAATTTTTTTCAACCTTTTTTTGCATATTCTATGTTGTTGCTGGTAAATTTTTCTGTTTCAATTTCAGTTATTGACTTCATTTCATTCGCAGTCTTACCAAATCAAATTGAAAATCGGATTTTTTTCTCTGTTTGGATTGGTGTGTGTATGTGTTATATTCCATGTCAAAACTAAAATCCAAACGTATATATTATTTGGTTTTATTTATTTTCATTGTAACAATCAAATCGTGTTATAAATGCACACCCATATTTACCTCATGCTGAAAATAAAACCGCTATGGTAATAAATTGACCATAAGTACAGTGTACAATTGAGTTGCATACAATTTTGATCTGTTCAGAATCGTTTGTTATCCGATGATTTGCGAATGCAAAT